GCACTGCTTAATGTCTTGACCATGGATAACCACTGGAAATCTGGCTCGGCGGAATGACTTTCTTGACCTTGGATTGTACAACACTTGCTTTATCTCTTGCTGCTGACAACACTTCTTGCTGATATCAAAACCTGGCTTCCTTCTGACCACATCTTGTTCACTGGATATCAGGCCTTTGTTTGTAGTTCAGGAAAAGCAAGAAATCTTTTTTTGTAGTTCAGTAAAAGCAAGAAAGTTACTGTTTAGCTACTACAGTTCTGTAGATAGCCCAAGATTGGTGGACAGCCAGGGAAAGAAACTCAGAGTAGATTATGGACATATCCTAATAGCCAGACACAGAATTATAATATCCACAGATTCTGCATCCACAGATTGCACAATACAAGGCATGAAAACAGTTAGGAAAAAATTCAAAAGGAAAACCTACATTTTGCCGTTTTATATAAAAGAAATTGCTTTATTACACTATTGTACATAATAGGACTTAAGCATCCATAACATTTGGTATCCATGGGGTGTCCTGGAATCAAACCCCACTGTACATCTTTGACTGAGAATCCTAAAGGAGCTCAACATAGAATCAAAGAATCATAGAGTTGGAAAAGATCACAAGGGCCATCCAGTCCAACCTCCTGACATGCAGGAATGGAGAATCAAAGTACACCTGTTAGATGGCCATCCAGCCTCTACTTAAAACCTTCCAGAGAAGGAGATTCCATCACACCCTGTCCATTGCCAAACAATTCTTCCTAATGTTTAGATGGAATCTCTTTTCCTGCAATTTGAATCCATTGATCTTTGTCCTAGTCTCCAGAGTGGCAGAAAACGAGTTTGCCCCCTCCTCAATGTGACATTATTTCAAATATTTAAACATGGTTATGGTTATCAGGTCCCCTCTCAGCCCTTTTCCCCCTACAATCTAAACATACCCAGGTTACTAAACCATTCCTCATAGGGTGTGGTTTCTAATTCTTTGATCATTTTGGTCACCCTTCTCTGCATATCACTGGAGATGAGGTAATCATTCTGTGTCTGGCTGAGGGGTGGGTGGCATTATTAACTGCCATTGAGTGACTTTGGCCTATAACAATCCCATGAATAAGAGATTGCTAAATCATCCTGTCATCAATGCCCTCTTCAGGCATTGCATATTCCGGGTTGTGGTCTCCTGATTGAATCTATCCACTGGAATGAGGGTTTCCTCTTTTCCTATTTGCCTTCTACCTTACCAAGCATTATTGTGAAAGGCAGGTGTTTTTTCAGTCCTGCAGTTAGAAATGAAATATATCCCACCACAGGTGGGGCAACTGTGAAATTTAATAGAAATATATTATAGAAATATAATAGATCCAACTATAGGCAAGACAACAAGCACACAGTTGTCTTCAGACAACAATGTGCTTGTTCACTTTGCTCTCTGGACTGATTAAATGGTGATAGGTAACACCAAGGTCCCTGTTCAGCTAGATTTTTTTTATACTTTTATCTCTTAAATAGACTTGGACTGTATAGCCTTTCAAATAGAACTATTATTCTCAATCTTTGTCCCTCCAGATGATTTGTCTCCAACATTTGGAACCTTTAGTCCAAGATTCTGGGCATTATGAGCCAATAAGATTTAGATTGGGGTGGGAATATTGCAGCCCCTCAGAATGTGGAGGAGCTATAATTCCCAGTAGCCCTAGCCAGCTTGGTCAATATTGAAGAATGTTGGGAGAAGCAGTTCAGCAAAATCTGGAGGGCCTTGGTGTAGATTCACTAAACAAAGAACTGTCATTTGGAGTGAGTGTCTGACCTATTTGTGTAGCTTGCTGTCAACCATTGCAGCCCAAAAGTCAGTTGCATCTGTCAAGAACGAAATTTAGGTACTGCCTAATTTAATTTAATTTAATTTAATTAGCTGAAATTAGCCTAATTTAGGCTAATTTAACTAATTTATGATGCCATAAAAATATCCAGCAATCCTGCAAAGAGTGAGGAAGTACTTCATCAGTGTCACAAATAAATGATGAAGCAACAGCTCCATTGGTGGCCAGAATACCCTCATGGAGAAAGTTGAAATGTTAAATTGCCTCTGTGTCTGTCTATATATGTTGTGTGTCTATGGCATTGAATGTTTGCCATATATATGTACATTGTAATCCGCCCTGAGTCCCCTGTGTGGTGAGAAGGGCAGAATATAAATACTGTAAATAAATAAATAAATAAAAAATAATAGCCAGATTCCTATATGAGAGATATGTATGTATAACTACTTATGGTATTACTCAGTGAGTGCTATCCCTATCCATTTTAATCTCTGCTTACCAGGCAGCAGCCACTGCAATTGACAGAGCTCTATTCCCTATCACTTAAGAAGTAACTGATCACTATTTCTACCTCCTCTCACGAGAGATCTCCAGTGTGATAGGCAAAAGCAGGACCTGTCACAATTCCCCCTAGTGCTAGAATTCCCCATCAGAATTCCTGCCTAAACTAGAGAGCACTCGTACAAGGGGAAGTGGAAATGTCAATCAGCTGTTTTCTAATTGACATGGGAACGGGCTCCTTTTGGTCAGAGCAGCTGCATCCCAATAAGTGAGGACTGGGCGATTTTCATGGCCCTATGTAGCTTCTAAAGAAGAGCTATATAGAGATCATGAATACGTAACACTCACCAGAGATAGAGATTATGAATATGCAACAGTGTGTCAATCTACATCATGCATTCACAACTGCCATGGAGGATTCTAGACATAGATACCATATAAAACCCAGATGGGGAAATTTTGCTCCTTTTCTCTACTGAATATTGATTGCCAGGTGTTGTTAAATGATGATGAGCCTTGCATTTAAAACATCTCTATCAAATTAGAAAGCACTGCTTTTTAATAGTGTCTTTTACGTAATCCTGATTTGCATGCTCTGCTGACATTCCCTCCTCCTTTTGGAGAGGTTTGCAAGAAACACACATCAGCTAACAAATGATTGCAGATTGGAAGCATTTTGGCAGTCAATGAATGATGGCTTATTTGCCCTCCTATTAAAAATGACTAGGTAAAAGAGATGCTCTGTTTTTTTAAGGGGTGTTTTGGATCAGCCTGAAATGCAGCTAAATTAAGGCACACACTGAAAGGGGGAATGAAAGGACTTTTTCTCCCCCAGCTCTGTTGTATTCATTGTACTCTGAGCTTAAAATATATAAGGTCATGAGCACAAAATATATTTTAGCCCAATTTTAAGCATATGAAAATATCTTACCATATCACATCACGTAGCCCCTTATCGTGCCCCGTATTATGCCATATTATTGTGTCTCATCTGTGAGAAAGAGTGATGGTGCCTCACCAAATGCAGCTCCCAGGAATTCATAGTACTGAGTCATGGCAGTTAAAGTGATGTGAAACTGCATTCATTCTACAGTGTGGATGCACTCTGAGAGATGCAATCCAAAAAAGCAACATTCTCAAGCTCTGGTTATACTACACCAGTAAATTGTCGAAGGCTTTCATGGCTGGAATCACTAGGTTCTTGTGGGTTTTTTTCGGGCTATAGGGCCATGTTCTAGAGGCATTTCTCCTGACGTTTCGCCTGCATCTATGGCAAGCATCCTCAGAGGTAGTGAGATCTGTTGGAATTAGGACAATGGGTTGGAACCTTCAAATGCTAATGAAGGTGGTCAGGTGAAACATTCACACCTAGCTCCAGCAGAGAAGAGCTCTTTGCCCCACCCCAGCCATTCCACAGATATATAAACCCATTGTCCTAATTCCAACAGACCTCACTACCTCTGAGGATGCTTGCCATAGATGCAGGCGAAACGTCAGGAGAATATGCCTCTAGAACATGGCCCTATAGCTCGAAAAAACCCACAAGAACCTAGCGATTCCACCAATAGTCAGTACATAAATAAATATATGAAAGAGGAATGTGGGGAGGAGGAGAAATGTATCTCAGGGCTGGGAATGATGAAATATTAAAGACGCCAGACCAGATCACATGCACTTATACCCATCTCTGGTTCTCTTTACCTTCTGGTGCCTATGGGCCCTATCACATGATGCAAGGTCCATTTCATTGGACACTCATAGACACTTGTAGGCAAAGAATCTATGGAGTACTTTTTGAAAAACGGGAAACAATCCACTTTAATCATCTTTAATTTGGCCACACACCTCAGAAGCGCAATTTTTATGTGTGATGGGTATCCTGTCTTCTGCACCAGTGACATGTAATTCGGTGTGTTTTGGGGGGGTTTTTCCCATCCATCTCAATTCTCCTTTGCCAAAAGGGACGGCAGTATACTTCCGGTGGCAGTCAGAGAAAGATTGTGAGTAAAACCATAAATGTTTTCCACTTCCCCATTACTGCTTCTTTTTAAAAAAAGGCAAAAATTGGGAAGAGTCATCTCTTGGCTGTGTGATATGTCCATCATGCATTATTTTATTAGATACAGAAAGGAAACAAGTGTGTGAGATGGGGTGAGTAAGTATCCAGTTCTTAAACGATGGGATGCCTACTTAAAATGCATTTTCTGAGATATGTGTGATAAGGTCCTTAAAGCCAAATTGAAGTTAGAACATATTAGGCTAGGAGGACCAATACCTCATGGCAGTAGTACCCAACCTTTTTTTGACATGGCACCACTTTGACCAGGAACCATTTGACCAGGGCCCATGTTCCAACATTAGTACCAAAAGGGTTACAAATCAGATTTTCATCAACTTTAGATTTGGTTTGGGGTACTGATTCAGAAAATTGCATTGAATAGACCACATGAGCTCTAGTTTCTGATACAGAACATATGCCATGACAGGGGAGGAGTGGCAGGTGACATGAAAGGAGTGGAAATTAAATAAATAAATTAAGAGGAAGGAGGCTCGCAGTCCAGATTTTCATCCTCACGGCCCACTTGTGGACTGCAGCCCACAGGTTAAGAAATATTGCCTTTTGGTAATACTTATCCAGATATTGCAGCTTATATACTCAGCTCTGCAAAGAACACAAAATGCTCACAGTCATATCAAAAATATTTTCTTTATTGAAGTAACAATTGTACTAAACAACCTATACTTGAAATGTATTGAATAATTGCTAAAATAAATATAGGCAATTAATTCAATCTCTTATAGAATGAGTTTTATCTGACACTTGAACGGCATTAACCCCAAAGCTATAACTTATACAATATAAATAGTTAGAAAGGCAAAGTCAAGTTTCTTTTTTCCCCCATTTTTGTCCTTTGCTTCTTTTTGTTCTTAAAATGTTTAATACTGATTCACTGGGTCACCAAAAAAGGTTTCATCTCCACTCCCCTCTCATCCCAATTGTGAGCATACTTTAAGACCAATTTTCAAGCAATTTTCAATTTTCCTCAGTCAGGCAGAAGGCAGTGTGTGTGTTACAAATTCCACAACAGAAGAAAAAGTCAATTTCATAGCTGCATTCCATGGAGAACAAAGTTTTACCACGGTGTTATCTCCTTGCACAGATCCTAAAGATATGGATTAGTAACCTTGCTGACATTCTTTCGTTTCTTCACAAATATTCTTAGGCATTAATATTATCTCACTTTTCCTATGCAGGAACTGGGACCCAGCTTTCCCTTTTCAAAATCCAGACCTTTATTGGGTTGCTGTGAGTTTTCCGGGCTGTAAAGCCATGTTCCAGAAGCATTCTCTCCTGGAAATATTGCATCTGGAACATAGCCATACAGCCCGAAAACTCACAGCAACCCAGTGATTCTGGCCATGAAAGCCTTTGACAACACATCCGACCTCTATTTGTAGGTAGAGTAAAAGAGGGGAAGACGAGTGGTGTATAAAATCTAACTGATCATATGTCTACCAAATTGCATCAATGAGAGAAGCAGACAGAGGGAAGTTCAACAACAAAGTACTTCCCACTGTGGTATTACATCCAGACCATGGTTGCATGTGTGGAATTAAACCCTATGAACAGACTGGGGTTTGTTTCGGAGTAGACACATATAGGATTGTCCTAGAAGCCAGCAGCATTCAAGTTTCATCAAAAAGAATATGGCCAGCTAGTCCTGATTAACTTTCATCCTACATAAATCAATGGGACGAATATTAATCATGACTGCCTTGCCCCATTAATTTCAATGGGATTAAAGTGTTACTCTGACAGGCATCCTGTTAGTGAGTTACAACAGCATAAGTCCAGCTTTGGCGATTGCAACCATTTTGGTCTTTACAGAGACTAGAATCCTTTATTGTTTGCACAATGACCAAAGTACTCCCACCTAAAGCTCACCTTTTAAATGATTCATTTTCATATTATCAGAGAGCAGGAAGATAAGAGATGTCCAACAATTTCCTGTAGCTGGCTGTGCTGCAAGGGACATCTGGAGAAACTTCTAAGGATCCCCTGAAGTTCTTGTAGATATCTGTTGTAATGCATCCAACTACAGGAAAATGGCTGGAGATATGCCCATTAGAGACACGCCCTGCTCTACAGTGACACTGAAATTACAATAGGGGGACTGTGTCACTTAAAGTGTGGGGCTTTGGATGGTAGCTCCAGGAGATATAAGCTCTGAGGACATAGTTACATAGACATACATCTCCTGATGCAGTATTCCAACCAATGTTTGGCTTTTTCACCCAGTAAGCCATTTAGGGAGCTGGGAAATTGCCCCTGACTCATTATTTTTTCATACTTTTTTGATTCTTGTTTTTGCTTGGAAGGGACTGTTGTCACTCAGGTTGACTAGTCTGGTGGCTTAATTCCAGTTCTAAACATTCAGAAGCATACATTAGTATCAGTAAAATATTGGGTTGAAAGATATGAACTTTGTGTAATTTGAGATCTTTGTTAACAATATTACAGCATCACTCAAGAGCTCATATATCTGCAACATGGGGCTACTTTTGTCTGAAAAATATGGAGGAATTGCTATGAGCCAAGTGTGTGTTTGAAAATGTTGACAAATGCAAGAAAGTTATATGATGTAAATGGTTCAGATCTTTATCGTGTCATAGGTTTATTAGTAAGTAATGATGATTCAGTCCTTTACTGGTGCAGGAGTTCATTAAGTGTCAATAGCATTCTTTTTTACCTACAGAGTTTTACTATTGACTTCTGTGAATAACAGGAACTGCTCCTTGCATTGTAATAAATGGGAATACCATTGGAAGTAGATGGGAGAGAAATGTGAAATAATGCAAAGAGGTTAGGTCCAGACTTATAATTGATCCAATGGAACCAACAGAATAGGATGAATACAAGCCTCATTGACTTGAAGGGCATTGTTCTTAGTTAGCACTAAATTTAACCCCCAACCTAAAACTGTGCATTTGAGTTTATGGTGTTCTTTCACCATTAATTACAGACATATGGCTTCCCATTCAGAAAGTCTGCATACAATTTTAAATAATATAAAATAAGATGGTTGATTTTGGGCAAGAGAATGCTGGAATGCACAATCTGGGATGCACAACTTGCCATTTTTCAATTCTTCACAATTTAGAAAAAAATCCATTGATTTATAAAATTAATATTATCAAACAGTATGTCAATAAAATGCATGCTATAAGGTCCAGATCATGTTGGCATATCTCGCCATTGGCTCTGTTGGCCAGGGCTGCTGAGTCTTGCAGACCAGCAACAACTTGAAGGTGAGATGAGTTCCACAGCTGTGCAGAAATCTTAACTCTATGGACAAAGTTAAGATTGCAGGGTCCTTTTTTCATAAGAGAAGACTGGGGGGTGGACCTGTATTGTGAAGTGAGGTGGTCTATTCTGCAACTTGTTGCCTGCATCTGACCAGATCTGAGAAGTAATCCTGAAGCTGAAATCTTTCACATGAAGGACTTTCCAACTTGCTCCAAATACAAATTTCACCAAAATTCAAGGGAGATCCTTCAAAAGTACACAATTATAGCATGATGAATCTGCTTCAACTGCCATGACAACATCCTATGAAACCCTTGGGGGGGGGGTTCATGGGGGGGGGGGTTACAGGACTGCAACCTTACCTGCATATTGGCAGGCTTATGTTTTGAAGATTTCATCATTAATGGATTTGATTAAAACAATCTCTCTAGGAATCTCTAGGTCTTCCAGTGTGACTCCAATCTACTTTCCCCAGTCATGGTGTAGGATCTAGAGATCCCTAGAGATGACCACTCCCTGGGAATCTCTAAGCCATCCAATGCAATTCTATGGACAGTTTCCAACAAAAGGTGACCATAGAGTGATGCCGAAGGACTTATACATTCCTAAGAAGGTGTTCTCCTGGATAAAAAAGCCATTTATTTTTTCATCATTTTTCATTTTCATAGAATGACTATATCTCATAACTCTACAATCCTCAGGGTTCTGTAAGTTGCAGCCATGGCACTTACAGCAGAATGATAGCATATTGTTGTATAGTGAGAAAGGGCTCTAAAACAAAAACAAAAAACTCAAGAAATTCACTCTATATCAACACTATTCAAGTGAAGGGTTAGCAAGTAAAGTGATCAATAACTGTTTGGAGCAGGGGAGGACTTCATAAAAGACATTGCATTGGGCCCCAGATCCTTTAGGGTTTGAAAAAGCTATTAAGGCATCGGTTAAATCCCTAAATGTGCACCATCTGACAGAAGTCATATTCCCTCATAAAAAATTTCTGGGGAAAGAGATTGCACATATCCATCCCATTGGCCTTAATGGGCTCAATTCCCCAGAAAGCTATTTTGCACATTTTTACACGCTCACATTAAAATTTGGAAACGGGAAAGCCAAATGGGCAAAGTGCACAACATCTGCCCAGTAGCAATGGAATGATGACATTCTGCTGGAAAAAATATGGGAAAGTTAAAAAAACAGGACAGGGAGTGGAGTATATTGGTAAAGGGCATACAGGTTAGAGCCTTGCCAAAAAGCACTTCACATTGCAATGTTTCATGCATATTCCCATTCATTTCAATGGAATTCTATGCAGACGAACTTCCTGGAAGACTAGGCTCATGTTTGTACAAAAAGATTTTTGTCTTCAAAACCTAACCTGGAATTTTTCATCCCAAATGAAAATCAAAAGCACACATTTAAATACTTTCACAGAAATAGCCATTCATCAGTTTTAAAATTACAGCGAGACATTTTATTCTTTCCATTGTGAAAAAAATCCTGTATCTGTTTTCACATTGTAGGCCAGAGTTTTTGCTTTGTTTCATTTTAAAGGAGGGATTACTCAAAACCTGTTTAGAAAAAAAAAGGAGAGACTGAGAAGTTGATGGAGGAGGGGAAAAGTGTAATTTTTGGCAGAAATATAAAATATGAGATTCTTTTTTTAAAAAAACTGGTGTAAAAAGTAAACAGAGACAAATAATTACAATTATATAAAAATACAACTTGGTCATCAAACTTTATAAAAAAATTGACTTTGGAATAAACGATTGGCAGCCTAACACACAGACTTACACACACACATACACACCAAAAACTCACAAAAAGGCCTTCCTAGAAAAAAAATCACAGAACAACAAGAAGTTCATAAATTAGGTTGCAAGCGGTTATCAGATCCTTTGCTTGTGTCTCCAAAACTCCCTTTCTTCCTCGTCCATCCACATCATGAGCGTGACCAATGAGGTATATAGAGGACGTTAACACTTTTGGGCATACGCAAAACAGAAGAAAGTGCATCATCAAAGACCACCCATAGGGATGGGTTGAATCTATGTGATTTTTCCCCCTCCCCCCTCCCCCAAAAGGCACAATCACATTTATTATTATTATTGTTATTATTATTATTTTGCTTTGGCATGGTCATGAATTTGTTCATGTTCGTTTCCAAGCAGCAGTGATCTTTTTTTCCCTTGGTGATATCAAATTCAGTGCCACAAACACTAGAAAGTTCATCCTCAGGCCAATTGAAACCTGATTGGGTCATTCAAAAAAACTTCCCATGGGCAGTCAGAAAAAAAGAATATTAAAAAATAATAAAGACACAGTGGTCAAATCATACATCGAGCACCATGTCATACTGTTGTTCTTTCTTCCGCCGTCCACATTTGGTGATGAGAACCAAGTACAAAGTCAAAAGCATCACCCAATAACAGGCGTAAAGTATCGTACCAATAATCAGCACTGTCTGTTTTGATTCAGAAAATGGCTTTTTGGATTCCTTGTATACAGTGAAAATAACACCACCTAAGAGGATTGTAAACCAAACGGACACAGGGATGAGTCCAATGAAGTTGACCACAATGGTTTTTCTCCCTGATGTGCCCCACCCCGCCTTGTTTATTGTGGCAATGGCAAACATCTTGGCTGGAAGTAAACTTGACATGTACAACACTGAGTAAAGGGACATGAACACCATGACAATGTTTCCTCTAAGGCAGCTGGCGAAGGAAGACTTGATAAGGCCCACAAGCTGAACAGTTAAAAGGAAAAGGAGGATGTTCCATAGCTTCCCTCGGTAGAAAAGCTGGATGACGGTGGCAATGAGAAAAAATGGGAAGAACCCAGTGATGACCGCTTCATAAGTCATCCACAAATGATGCTTGTGGAACCACATTGCATTGTATAGCCACTCTCGGAAATAGGATTTACTCCAACGGGTCTGTTGGTTCAACCACCTGAGATATTCTATAGGTGTCTCGGTAAGGCACTTGGATCGAGCGGTGTATTTTGTTGCATAGCCAAGGCTCAAGACTCGGTTAGTGAGATGTCTATCATCTCCAAAACTACATTGAGAACCCATGAATTCTTGATTGTACCAATCCTCCACAAATTCATGGAGCAAGGAGTTCCTGTACATCCCCAAAGGTCCGCTGATGCACTGGACACAGCCAAAGTAGGACTGGCAGGCTCTTTCAATATTAAATGCCATCCAGTATCTGACGCTGCTGAGGAAGGAGATCCATGAATCGTATTTGTTCAAAATCTGCAAGAAGCCAAAATAAAAATGAAGTTTGAAAATTAATTCCTCAGAAAAAGAACGTAGGATGGGCTTTTGATATGTTTATTATTGCCGACACAGGTAGAACAATATCACAATCCATCACAATTTCAGAATACATATCAAATATTATTTTCTTAGTGTTCTTATCCTTGCCAATGCCTATTCCACCTTTATCTCCCACTTGTGTCTATCGATTTTACACCTCCCCACACCCTCGGGGAACAGTACTTGCCTTCATTCAAATATTATTTTAACTGAACAATCATAGAAAGAGAAAGGTTCAGCTCTTTATATCTTTCCTTTCCTTCAACTTTATCTATCAATCTTCCTCATTTCTGAACCCAATTCTTCTTGGATGGGCTTTTTGAAGGTCATGATGTCAACATCACAAAAACAATGCTACTGATATTATTTTAAATAGTTTGACCTCTTATTCTACATTTCTTTTCATATACTTTGTTTTGCTTTGCATATGTGTAATAGTAATATCACACATATTTGTGAAACTGTTCATATGCAGCAGTGGTTCTGAAATTGAGCATTCTCTGTACTCAACATGTTTCCCTTCTACAATAAGGCATCCACAGATACATACTGAAAACTGCAAATGAAGCTGATTCAAAAAATGGCACCAGTTTTTCCTATCAGCTCTAGTTTTTGAGATACAGAACATATGCCATATATCAGTCTTCAGCTTCTCGCCCATACAAAATCATGACACCCATATCGAAGAAATGAGAGGTAATGCGGTCTATCCAATGCACTTTTCTGAATCAGTGTCCAAAATAACCCCAAGAACAAGCGGACAAATCAAAATAAGAAGTTTTTTGTTGGACTGTGTTATAATTTGATGCCCATTGAAAATAATTTATATTATGGTTTATATTAGTGTTTCTCCACCTGTGCCTGAAATTTCAAGGCAGGAAAAAATAGGAAAAACTATTGTGTGTACATTAATATATTAATAAATACAAATAAATGCATTTTCTTTTATTTGTCCTTCTTTTACATTTTATGTGGTTTTATTCATTTTATGGTGTTCCCTTATTGTAAGATGCCTTAACCTCTGTTTGTGGGATAGAAATCCAGTTCAACAAGTACATAAAATGTGCCACTTTCCCACATGGAGATAAATCTTTGCGAAAGTTGAAACTGATGTGTCCTTTAATGGAAAAAATGATGCACAGTTTGAGTCATCAGAAAAATTGTTTATATTCACCTGAACATCTCCCCCAACACCACCAACCATTGGATCTTCTTCTAAAACTTTTACCATTTCCACTGATGAAGCTGGATCAAGCATCGTATCAGAATCACATACCTGTCCAGAAGAAAGAAACATAAAGTTAATATAGACAGATATCAGTCTTAGGTCTGTTAACAGAAAATCTGGGAGCAGCTGAATATGGCCTACTGCTGATTTTTTAAAAGAAAAGTTTCACCCTCCAATTTAACAACATGGAAGCCCAACTATTTAGCTGCCCTCCATATTAGCCAACCATGATTCCAGAAGACAGATGAACAGAATTTGGTAAATAACTACCTTGTCACATATGCCTCCAGAACCACAGTGGATTGCTGCACATCAAGGCAATCCTGACAGCGACTGCCTAGGAGATGTGGGGACCTATCATCCTGCGCCTCACAATGTTCCAACTTCATCACATGTGTTGCCGATGGTGGCTTTTTTTTTATGGCGACTCTGGTTTCGCCACAATTTTGCCCCAGAGCCTGGAAGTACTTCTCCAACGTGTTGTGGGAGCCAGCAGGCTCCGTGGCAAAGCTGCAGCACAACTAAAATTTGCCACATATGATGAGGTTGTAAGACTGTTTTGCTGCTTATCAAACACTCAAGGGTTGATCAACAAATAAAAGAATATGGAATCTGAAAAATTCTGTGTGCCCAAAGAAAGGATCAGATTTCAAGATCCCAAAGATGGCACATTCCATAGAAACCCTGTGCGTGGCAATACTCAAATTCCAAATGACAAGAATTCAAAAGACACACATTTTCATGCAAGTCAAACCCACTCCTTCAGAGCTGTGTCACTATCCCACATTTTAGTCAACTCATTGTAAAAAAAACACTCTTTGTGAAATTTTGGTATTGATACTTCTTTTCAAGTAACTATGAAAGCTACCTCCTAGGTCCCATCTACATTGACCATTTAATGCACTTTCAAACTAGTAGTGAAGAAAATAGTTTACACAGGAAATCCTGGAACCAGCTTGAGATCCAGGTGGTGATACTGATTACATAAACTGAAGATCACTGATGTGCATTGAGGTCTTTCTTTCATGTGCCTTTGTAGGAGTTTGTTGCCTGGCCGCCAGAGTTAGCAGCTAGCTTCAAACTACATTAAATGGTCAATGCAGATGTGGCCCCAGAAGTTCTTTTCTAACATAACTGAACCAACGAAGTGCAATTTCAAATTAATGAAACAGTTATGTAGCTACCATGGTTACAAAGAAAGAGTGGACAATGTGTGACTTCAAAATGTTGTTAGGTGTCAGCTCCCCTCATCCTCACATTTAGGTTTGCTGGGTAGTTTTAATGGGAACTGCATACCAGCAATATGTGGCAGGTCACAAGATGCTTGAGTATGGTTTCATCTCATTTATTTGAATAATTGGAAAAAAATATTTGATCTCAGAATCAGGAATTTGTTTTGATTTAATTAAGAAAAATGGGGCAACCCCAGAAAACCCCATTATAGGTTCACCCTAGTGTTGCCATAAATTGAAAATCATAATGTTGTGCTCTTTCCTTCTATCTGCATGATAAAAGGAAAAGGGATGCATTTGCTATGTCCCTAGTTCAAACATTTTAAATATGAGTCAAGTGTTAATGAGCAGCTGTGGTCCTGAAGACAACCCATGATTCCCCAAGGGAAGCTATGCATGTTGAGTGAGGCATAAGGAGGGTCTCTCATTTTGGTGAGAGAAAATGCTCAGTGGTTATTATGCTCAGTGGTTACCACTCTTTCAAAGGTGGGCAGCTGAAGACAGATCAAGGCTCCCATTTCCTGCCTCTTTGCCATACCTTTAGAGGACAGATACCCATTTTTTCTCAAAACAGGAAAACATGTTAAACCAGCCTTTTCTTTAAAAAACATTCATGAGCAAAATAAGCTTAATAGACTTGCAGTTCCTCGGAGTTTCAAGTATATGTGATTCACTATTTGGGGACTAAAAATGGGGTGAGGACATCTGGAGATGACATGTGTGGCACTAAGAGTAGGGGTAGGCTGAATGTGACTGAGGACTTCATCTCATAAGTAGGGGAAAAGGGGGGGGGGGTGAAGGAGACCGTCTTAATCCATTTCCTCCTATCTTTCCTTGTCTTTTGGGATGGCCAGACACCCTATGTCCTTACTATGTTAATGCTCATATTTCCCCTGCTTTCTCCCACTTTTCTTCATTTGGAGTTAGGTATTACCCAACTTCTGATGATGGGTTTAGGGTTTCCTTTCCATGTGCTGTGGAAATAGACTCCCATGTACTCCCATCAAAAGAGCCCTTACATCATGTAATGTATTTTGTGGGACTCCCATGGGGCTCTATTTCTGAAGTATGTGGAAATGGAGCCATAAACCTGTGGGATAAAGTCTCTAAAGGCAAAAAAACCCCAAAAAAACCCCTTACTATCTCATTTTAAGAGCTAGTGTTGGACTCAGGTCAGAGTCCAAGACCGTGCCAAGCCCTAAGGTTAGCTGACTACAAGGTTTCAACATTTCATAAATGAACAGATGTGCAGTCCAAAAGGCAAACATTATCAATATTCAAGAATATACAAACAAGATAATGCTGCACTAGCTTGCTTTTGTCTAAGTCTATTGGGATTACTCCCCCTCCTCTCTTCTGGGCTAATTGAGAGCAAGCTATTTTTGCTCTTTGAACTCATTTTGTGAGAATAGAAGTATACTGAGGATAAAGAGTGAAAGTTAGGGGATAAAAGAAACTGAAAAGGTATCTATGCTGTAGAATGGATGCAGTTTGAAACCACTTTAGCTATCATAGCACAATGTTATGGGATCCTGGGAGTTATCGTTTGGTAAGGCACAAGCACTCTTTGCAAAAAAAAAAACAAACCCTACAGATCTTGTAGATCTATAATTCCCATGGTTCCATACCATTGAGCCACAGTAGTTAAATTAGTGTCAAATTGTGATCAAAAGCACTCTTCCAGAATTGTTTCTCTGAATGCACCCAGATACTTTTTAAAGAAGCTGAAGAAACAGGAATACAGTTGGAGGGTGTGGATATGTGGTCTCTGAATTGCATGCCAGAGAGCAGGGCAGTGTGACAAGGACACTCTGCATTTTGTTTAAATATTTTTTAAGGGCAGCCTCATGAAGAAGGCAATCCAATAGTATAATTGAAGGAGACCCAACAACCTCTCTAGGCAATCAGTTCCACTTCCTAATATGTCAGGAAGTTCCTTCGATCAAAATCTACTCTCCTTGAACGTTGAACCATTAGATCTAGTCCTACTTCTACATCATGCTCTGAATGGAAAAAATGCCATTAAGAAATAATAAAGAAAAGCCTTATAATAAATAAAACACTTTAAAAGGTCAAATCAGAAAAAGTGTCCCCTTCAAAAAGCAAATACAGTGGTCTTTCTTAAGTTCCATGCATGCATCCATACATCCATCCATACATATAGGCATGCTAAAATTAGCAATGTAAATTGCAGCCCAGTTTATCCTCTGAGCTAAATAAGAAAGTGCAAATATTTTTCTTTCTCTTTGCTGTGCGATGGCGAGATTTTAACCGTTGCTGTTGGCCTCTGAGGATATTTGCTCTTTTGCGAGTCCAATTTTTGTGCATTTTTGCAAATGTGCAAGGTTTGAAACTACAATAACTGCTGCCTTGTTGCATTGCCCTTACAAAAATAAACATAATGGATGGGCTAATAGTTGTTTTTTTGTGAGCTTGGTATGTGTTTACAAATACAGTAGTTAGTTTTACAAAGGGAAAATAGATTAGATACATTTTTGCTCAAATTGCAGAGGGCGTAATAGGGACAAACCCCCTTGGTATCTCACAGTTTCTCTGGAAATGAGATTTCTCACAGAGGCATGACATTCTTGCCAGCCTATCATGTCTACGTTGAGGCATCTTGCCTTGACCATATCCAAGACATGGGCTTGATTTCTTTGAATTCAGCTAAAACAAGTTAAGTGCTCAAAAGGTGAGTAAACATATCAATTTTGTCTTCAACTAAGGACACTAGACCATGTCTTTTAAATACAGTAGCGCCCCTGTATCCTATGAACTTGTTGTGGAAACAGGAAACTGTAATAGTGAACTCTACTGAAATGAACAGCTTCCACCAGAAGGTGTCATGGAGTCATTCTGGAGGACCTCCCAAATTTCCAGTGAGTTTCCTATGGAAGAATATCATAAAATTAGCTAAAGGACCCAGAAAATTCCTTGATAGGACATATTTTGTCTGATGTGGAAAAGTATCACTGTTAGGATTTGTAATTCTGCCCTTTGCCACGTTGCCTATTTACTTATGGAGGCCCCATTAATTTCATAGGTATTTAAGTTAAGGAATTCTCGGGGCCCTTCCATACAGCCACATAACCCAGAATAGCAAACCAGAAAATCCCACAATATCTTCTTTGAACTGAGTTATCTGAGTCCACAGTGCCATATATTCCAGTTCAATGCAGATGATGTGGTATTCAACTGTGTGGAAGGGGGTTCAGAGGTGGTTCTGCCAGAACCTTCCTCTGAAATACACCTACAACACCTAGTATTTGTTGGTGTTCTCCCATCCAGGTACTAACAAAAGCTAACCCTGCATAGCTTTCCAGATCAGACAGGATCTGGTGTCTCTAGAATATATATGCATCATCCAATCCCTACTAAAAGTTAATTGATGGATGGCTATAGAAATAGGACGAGCATCAGAAGAAATATACATTTGAAAGCACTGTAAATAATAAGTAGAGAGGAAGACTCGTTTACTCACTCCAGGAGTATGGGAAAATGTCCAGAGCATTAAATATCATGAGAATCCATACATGAGAGAAACTCTTTCCCTGCCGAGAGTGTGGGAAATAAAGAGAGGCCAGAAGGATAAATTGGACAAGGCTTCTTTATTAACTGAAACATGATAACAGAGCCAGTGTGAAAATCTGGCCATTAGATTTTAGGGATGTATCTCATTCAGATGTGATTCCTTGTTAATATTTTTTCCCAAAGGAAGCTGTGAGAAAGTCTTCAAAAACCAAGCAACTTTTTTTTTTGCAGTCCAGGACTCATCCTGTGAAAAATTCACATGTGTTTGTTTCGCACACATTTTCT